CTCCTCGTCCTCTCCCCCTCCTGCCTGCTCTGTTATCCGCGGCAGACACCCCGCCCCGCCCAAATACGGACTTTCAGCATGAAGTTTTATAACATCCACACTGGCGAGGTGGGTGTGCCCTGCTCGTGTATCCAAAACTTGACTTTTGCTCTTGCTGTTCTTGTCGGGGAGGGGTCTGTGGGTCAGGGAGGAGTCTGTGGGTCAGGGAGGGGTCTGTGGGTCAGGGTCGTCTGAGGAGGAAGCAGATGAAGGGAGTTGCGCATGGGAACTTTTATTTAAGATTTAAGTTTTTTGTTATTTCAAAGGTCCTCATGGCTCAGCAGCAGCAGCAGCAGCAGCAGCAGCAGCAGAAGCATAAATATTACTGTTAAGAAAGCTGATGATAAAGTTGAATAAAAATCTAAGTCTGGTTCTGAAGGTAATTAAATATCTGACAGTGATCATTACACAGTGTGGCTATAATTCACCACTTCACCATCTGTGTCGCAGTTTCCTGTCTCCAAAATGAGCATATGCATGGGTCAGAGCTGGTGTGAGGCACCGCACATTTTCACGTCAAGTTTGGATTTTATAAATCACAACCTTGGCATAAAAAGTGGCGTACGCAAGTTTCTGGGCTCAAATTGTGCGTACGCCAGTTTTATAAATCTGACCCCTGGACTATGTCTTGTTTTGAGCGGGTTTCATTCATCTTCTTTCATGTTCATTCCTCCACCTCTCCAAGTTCTCTTCCACCTGTTCTCATCAGGGGTCTCATTTATAAAGGATTGCGTGGAAACGATACTAAAAGTGAACATACAGCCAAAAGGCGGAAATGGCGTATGCCAAAAAATTCAGATTTTAAAACCGTGCGTATGCATGTTTCTGCGCATCTTTCCTTTATACATCACAGCCGCACGTCAGAGTTTGCGCACGAGGTCCTGCCTCAGGTTCTACCCTCTACACGCCCACACTCAACCATAAACAGTCAATGTAAAGTACCTCATGAATGTTAAGATGTATTTAAATCAGTCAGCTGATCAATGCCAACAAAAGTGATTGGTACAGATACGCTCCGTCGTGTGTCTGGAGGATGACAGGTGCTGACTGACAGCTGCTCATGTGAACAGAATGTCTGTAATTAACACAGATTTTCCCTCATTTTGCT